TGTTCATCCCCTAAGCTGTGTCACCACCAGAAGTCCCATGTCCAGAGCAACGTCATTGTCTCTTTATCTGTCAATTGTTGTTCATTACTATATATGTGTTACCATTACAGGCTTGGTATTCCGAGTGCTGGCGTAGGGACGACCTCGAGCAGGATGTGCCGCTTGTAAGAAACGCCCTGAGCGGAGCTCCAGCTCACCTCAGGGCATTTCCTATGAGCGGCACATGGAGGTGGAGAATATTCTGCACATTATAGTTGTGTTGTAGGATCCAGCAGAGGGCTTGTGACAGGTGATCGAAAGTTTTGGGGCTTGATCCGGCATCCAAACGTCAAATGCTTGTAGGAATAGTATCTACCACACCATTTAAAACCAAAGTAAGGCCAAAAGTCTCTCTGAATAGGTACCTGATTGAATGCGTCTCTAACATCGGCCTTACACATGAGTGCATTTGGTCCTAATTGCATGATAATGCGGACAGCATTGTCTATGGTCACATAAGACAAAGAACACGAGTCCTTGTCAATTAATTCATTGATGCTAGGGATGAAGTCATCGTGCGGGGCAGACAGATCGAGAAGCAAACGCTGTTTGCCTGAGTACTTCCCCACTGCCAGACCGAGAGGGTTAATGCGACAGACTTGGAAAGGAAGTAGGTAACACATACTTGTTAATGACCTCCAGTTGCACTGCTTTACCCACTGCTTCTGGGTTTTCCTCAGCATTGTTCTCACATTCCAACGTATCAGTGGGCACTTTGGAAATCATGGGATCAAAGCCGAAAGTAAATCATTGGATAACATAGCTAGCAAAGTCACGATCTGGGTGTGCCTTGAGCTCATCTGTTAGGACACGAACATTAACTGGAGGACTGTCTACTAGCTCTGGTCATTTGTCCGATTTGCGTTTATTCTGCCGACATGAGGATTTACCATGAGAGGTAGCTTGGCAGGTCAAACAGAGATGGGAGAAAATACATCTCTCTCAGGAGCACCAATTTTCATTGAAGTTATTACACACTTCCCGGTTCGCGAAAAACACACGAGTGCGGCCCTTGGAATCTTACTCACTGCTGGTCCGGGATTGGTTGTGGAAGCGATCGCCAGGGGACCGAAAAGATTTGAATGAAAGGTTAGCGCTAGGGCACTCTGCTTTAACGTGATCATTACTGTCACAAGAACTACACACCTTCCTCTTGAGATGAGCACAACACACATTGAAAATGTTAGTGTCGGGTTTGGATCAATCTATTAGTTTGCCGATAGTTGCGTATGCTGCGACTCTCATAGCGAATCGTTTATGATACTCATAGCACCCATCCGATTCGCATAGGGCTGCTAGGTCTAAGACGTACTCTTCATGAGCTTCCATTTGAGCTTTCTTCTGGGTGTCTTGGCCGCAGTAAATGTTGCGATAGGTTCGGAAGGTTTGGAGAATTCCCGAGGAGATAGGGTTCTAGTCAGTTTAGATGCCGCATTAACTGTTTCTCCTTTACCATCCCCAAAGTTGTAAATAGTAGTCAACAATAATGCCAGATTGACATATTTACCTGTCCTGATCTTTGTGACAAGTTGCTCTGGAACCAGGTAAATTGGGGGGAGGGACAGCTGAAGGAACAGCTGTAGTAGAGTGTCTGACCTGTGGAGCTAGATGTGGTGCTAGAAACGTGGGATCTTGGGAACTAGGGTTAAGTCAACCATTTGAAATCTGATGCATATCATGATTTGCAGGCAAAGATTCTGTATGATCCTGAGCTGAGTAGGTAGATGGTGGGTTGCCTGAAACTGCTGACTGATTGTGTGTCATGGTGTAGACTAGGTCACTCAATTCCTTCAACTGGTTCTGAAGTATTTGTAATGAGTTGTGTTTCTGCATGAAGTTAGCCAGTGAATGCAACAACTGTGTCCATGACACTTTTGGAGGAACATACACTCAAGCAATGCAGAACTTACCAACAAGAAAGGAAATGTATTCAATACTGTGAGATGACATTACCGGGTATGTGCTAAGTTTGATGAAGAAATATAGTACGGTTTTCAAGATCTGCTCCGGAAACCGCCATTTTCAGTCTAAATCAAAGTCGTTGCCTTGGAAAATCGAAAATAATTTTTTTTAAATCCCAAACCATCAAAAGGCACCAGTTCACCACTAGATCTATCTATGTGTCAAGTTTGGTGAAGAAATATGGTACGGTTTACAAGATCTGCTCCGGAAACGAGGTCTACCAGCATTTTCAGTCTAAATCAAAGTCGCTGCCATGGAAAATCAAAAAATAATTTTTTTTTAAATCCCAAACTATAAAAAGGCACCAGTTCACCACTAGATCTATCTATGTGCCAAGTTTGGTGAAGAAATATGGTACGGTTTTCAAGATATCCATTCCTATATCCCCTTTCCACTATGGGCGGGGGATAAAAAATAAAAAAAATTGACAGGGCAATAACCAAATTACAAACAGGCCACACAAAACTAAACTCACACCTACACCAAATTGAAAAAACATCAAAACGGTAAATGCAACCAGATAGAAACCAAATGACACTAGCATCTCTACTAAACCCCTTTAAATCACTTGGCGTCATCTAATCAAAACAGGCCTACTTGGCTGCATTTAAAAAAAAAAAAAACACACACACCCCACCCCACCCCACCCCACCCCCACCCCCAAACCAAAAAAACAAAACAAACAAGCTACCAATAAAACATAAATCATAAATCTATAAAAACACACAACCTCACAAACTCCTTTAGTTCCTCTATCTTATTAGCACGGCTTATTTCAAAATTCAAAACTTCCACCAAAATTAATTAAGTGACCATAAAGCCCCTCCAGGTTGCATTACCTTTCGGACATACCCAGTGCGACCACATCACTAAATGTGCTCGCTTAATAGAATGTTTATTCCTAATGCAGGATATTTACCATCCCCAAACACACTCGCGTGATAACCTCTATATACTTATGCATATACTACAGAATACACAAAAACACTGATTATAGATCATAGAGCCAGGCCAAATTAAATCAAATAATATATTCCACACAAGAGAAGAGAAATACCAAAACTTGCTTCATGTTATAAATGTGTGACAATACGACAGTGCAATAACATGACATTTCATCAAAATATTGCGTTGTCATGCTTATACCGTATTTTTATACCCGGTAATTATTCTTGCACATTGTCAACGGTTGGTTATAAATGGATAAAACCCAGTCACAATTACAACAATTACATGTGTGCATACATAGGTCCCAAAAGAAGGAGCTTAGTCTGACAGTTAAAGGGTTGTCGGTTATTTGATGTATGATGTATTAACTATATTGGATAAAAATAGAGACATTGCAAAAACATTATTTTGAAATATGTTCTTAATTTACCAAGCTCACTGAGCATCGTTTCATCAAAAAGGATATCAAAAGTGAGTGAGTCATAATCAGGATGAATTAGGAATTCAAAATCACAATCAAAGGTTTCCTCTGCACAGTTAACTCATCACTTGGAGAGAGTGAGTGAGTGAGTGAGTGAGTGAGTGAGTAAGTGAGAAAGTGAGTGAGTTAGTTTTGAGGCTGCTTTGAACAGAAATTCAGTTATTTCAGTGTGTCAGCTTCATGTGTGTAAGCTTCATTGGACGGGGTTTCTGTGAGTGCCAAAGACACAAAGTGTGGGTGGGTGTTGGAGGGGGTGCAAAACATGCCTCCAACAAGATTCTTTTTTAAATCTTCACCTAAAATGGTGTATTTTAAGCCACTCAGTGCACAAATAAATTGTCTGGGGTTTAAATCTTTAAGTTAATGCATGCACTTGTGTGTATTTTTGAAACTCATAACCACATTCTTCATCTATTAATTTTTCACTTATCCTTACAGATATGGTCAGATACAACACACTAATTTCTTTTGTGTGAACATGTATTTTAACAATGCAAACAAGTTACTATCATCATGATTACACACTCATCTTCGGTTGTAAACGATTGAGTCCTTTGGTTTTCACTCACGTTCGCTGGTCCGTATTAAATTTTATAACAGTTTGAGATATCATTACTTATTATTACATATTATTACATGCATGTCTTGTGTGTTAAAACCATTTTCATATTAAACAGTTAGTTATCTCCAATGATTATAGGTTAAATTGTCCCGCAATCTACAGGTGTTGACATCATAAAAAATTGTGTAGTTCATTCAAAACAATTTCAAAGATTTAAACCCACAACAATTGTATGATTCTTCCAAAATGATAATGTGATCAGAAACATGATTGTCACTCGGATTTTGCGACGTGACAGAAACTCAAAACAAAGCAACAATAAGTTATGCGTGAAGTAAACATGATGTAAATTCAAACAAAATTTCAGGGACTTATGTATGTACGTATATTTTGCGTCCCGTGATTGTTCGGGTGGATTGAGGCTTGCTAATTTCTTGGATCTCAGGTTGTGCAAAAAGAGACTTCCCCTTCTCAGATGGCATTAAAATTAAAGAAACATCAGTTTGATTAACAGCTTTCTTCATCTCCTGTCACTCCTTAGCCTTCTTCCTGCCTTGCACATGGGCATTTATGTTGAAAAGTATTTTTAGAGTGTGATGACAGCCAAAATAAAGGAATATGGCAATGATGTAATAGAGGTTGAGCATTCACAGGAATTACTCAGGTTACTCAGTATGGAAGAAGTCAAGCTGGTGTAGGAACAATTACCACTTATCTTAGGAATTGTGTACATACCTGCCATGCAATACAGAACTTTCCTGATTTGTTCCCACTGATGATGTATGACATCTTGAAAATTACAGCCATATGGACAATATTTCACCCTTATATAAAGGTAAGGTGAAAACACAATACACTGTCAGCATACAGACTAATACAAAAGAATAAACATTGTAAGCATAGTGAGACAACAAGATAAAGATGATGTTTTGCAAATTACATGACAGGGTCTTCACACTGTCTTAGTGTCAATTGTACACCAAACTCAAATCTCTCATGGAATCTTACCTTTTGTGCTGTCGAAGAAATCTTGAAGGTATCTCGGTTTCATGTCCATCTGTTCATACTCAAATGCTTGTAGGATCATTTCAAACCTGTCTATATCTTTTATAAACTCTGCTTCTTTACTACTCTGATCTTCATATTCCTTAAATGAAATCAAAGGATAAGCATTAGAACCAGAAAAGTGTCTGGACCAAGTGAATTACAAAAGCAGCCTAATCTGTGCATTAGAACTAGAATTGAGTTTGAAACATATTCATTGACCAAAGCAGCACAATCTGTGTCAGAACCAGAAAGGAGATCACACTACAGTCAATAAACAAGGCAGAGCCATCTGTGCATCAAACCTCGATACCATTATACCCCTATACTACTACTACTACTCCAGAGGTAATTTTTTATGCAAAAACCATGATGCGAATCAATAATCATCATGGGACTAAGCTAAATTGTAATGAAAAGGACTGTGGATAACCACCACCAGAACCATTCCAAAACCCTGTCAATGCTTCTATGTTGTAAATGATAGAAATTTTTAAAGGGAATGCGATCCAACGATCGTCATGACTTTAAACTAAATTGTAATTAAAATATTCTCTATTCAACATTTTTACTAAGTTCTTCGTTCATTTTACTAGGAGACCAGACTGTATACTCTTCTTCGCAATTGAAAAGAAACAATTGATAACCGTATTTGGATGGTTTGACAACCCTGATATAATATATACGAGGGCTGGCTGAAAAGTTCTAAGCCTAAGTGGGATATCTCAATCGGATTGAAACAAACTTTTGCCACCAACAAGTACAATCTTCAATGAATCATAGACATAAGAACTGCAACTGTAGTGTTATTATTGTCTTTGTACCAGACCATCTTGTGAACCTACCCATTGAAATCGCCAGAAATGGACAAAACTGGCTAAAGGGCAGTCATCAAGTACCTGCAACTGAAAGGGCTAACTCCAACACAGATACATGCTGACATGGTCTCCACTTTAGGGGATGATGCCCCTTCCTTTTGCACTGTAAAGAAGTGGGCTGCCAAATTCAAGTGTTGCAGAGAGAGCCTTGACGATGACCCGCGTCCAAGGAGGCTTCAACAGCAACCATTCCGGAAAACATTACCCGGGTGCATGACATGGTCATGGCTGATCGACGATTGACCACTCAATATATTGCCAGTGTTGTGGGCATCTCTCATGAGAGGGTTAAGCACATTATCACCAACGAGTTGGGAATGACAAAAGTTTCTGCAAGATGGGTGCCAAAGCTCTTGACAGCATGAAACATGTCAGATTCCTGACGTCCCGTGACAATTTATGCCGTTTTGAAGCAGATCCCGATGATTTTTTTGCCCGATTTGTAACCATGGATGAGACCTGGATTCATCACTTTCAACCAGAAACCAAAATTCAGTCTAAACAATGGAAGCATCCGGAATCACCAGCCCCCTAAAAACCCAAGTCGGTTCCTTCTGCTGGAAAGGTGATGGCTTCAGTCTTTTGGGATTCCAAGGGTATTCTGCTGATTGACTATCTTGAAAAAGGCCAGACTATCAATGGAAGATATTATGCTGACCTAATGAGACAGTTGCATGAAGCTATCAAAGCTAAGAATCAGGGAATGCTCACTAAAGGAGTCCTGTTCCACCAAGACAATGCTCCTGTTCACAAATCGGTGGTGGCCATGTCAGCAATCCATGATTGTGGCTTCGAACTCATTGACCGTCCCCCTTATTAACCCGATTTGGCCCCGTCAGACTTCCACCTGTTTCCCAAAATGAAAAAGGAACTAGCCAGTCGCCATTTTCCTAGTAATGATGACATCATTTCCGCTGTGATTGACTTTTTTAGGGTGGCTGAAGAAAATTTCTTCATGACCGGCATCCGGGCCTTGCAGCATCGCTGGCAAAAGTGTGTAAACCTGGAAGGGGACTTTGTGGAGAAATAAATGAAAACCATCGACTTGGTATGGATCTCTTACAGTTAGGCTTAGAACTTTTCAGTCAGCCCTCATACCTTGTGGTAATTCGAGAATTTGATCGAATCTCCTGCTTCATTGCGTTGTATTTGAATTTTATCATTGAGTGAGCATATGCTGTAATACCCATCTGATGTAGTGTGAAGGGCCTCATCTATATATAACTGATTATTACCTCTCGCAGCACTTATATTGGCCCACCGTAGGTAATACGTTATATCACAGAGAGCAACTTCAAGTTGCCCAGCTGCGTTGTCGATGGCGTGAAGCAGTTGAATAGACTGACCATTTGTTATTCCCGGGAGTGTAACATACATATTAAATATACAAAGATACTATATTATAACTTCAATATGGGAGGTGCTAATACCAAGAGAAGTATTGAAGCAGCCGACCTTACGCACCCAACAATTTTAGTCGATGTCTCCGTTGCTCAGTTTAAAACTCAATTCCCTGATATCTTTAGAAATTACAGGACGCAGCAACAAACGTTAAAACAATTCATGATTGGTTCTCCAATCCGATACAGTTCTGGCAAAACCAGCTAATATTTGCTATATGGTGTGCCACAACAGGCTGCGGAGTATCTATTAGTGACCATCGCGACAAACGAAGTAAGTCTGTTTTCTACTTTCAGATTAGGCGCATCCTTACACAAATAAGTGCACCATTACCGCAGGATCAAGCATGGAATGCATCAAATAATCCTTACAATCGGCATGCATATGAACGTATTTGTGGGGAATTTGCTATTTCTTCCGCATGCTGGTGCACACTATGTTAAAGAAGGCAGCGATGATTTACTAAAAAGAGGTTGGCTTCTTCCAAGCTTTGCTCTCTCGAGTAACGAGTGGAGAGACGATCGTATGAACTTTAAGGGTGGTGTTGCTTTCACCGTCCAAAAGGTTGAACAACCACAAGATGCCAAAAATGCTTGGGAAAAATTCATTTTGAATAAATACGAAGGTTTTACTCTCCCCGGCATTGAATGAATTAATGACTTAATCAAAACTTGCGTATAGGCTCTCCATGGAGCTCAGTCACAAATGCGCTCAAACATCATTGGTGCGGGGGTCAGATTTCTATGTGCAAAAGCAGTTTACTGCGAACATAGAGGATACTATTTCATCACCCATTGACCTACCTTGGGCTCTCAGGTGATACCAAGATGTACTACAGTATGCCGAATCTAAAGTAGACTATGTTGTTGGAATAGGTCTGTACATGTCACCAAGTAACATGCAAACTTACGATTGACCAAGTGATAGGTCACAACTTACAACAATAAAATTGTGGTTGCTTTCGATCAACAAACACTAGGTTTCAATTCAGATCTTAACACCATATTATTAACGCAAACAAACACAGACAAAAGCAATTGCTACAATCACCGCCCACAAGTTTGGACTAAGCCAAGTGGCGGTCTTCGCTAATAAATTCAAGAGCCAGGATACAATACTCCCTATTATACCGGGATGCTGCTTTCCCAGCCAGCTTTCCTAGTGCCTCCCCTTAATGCCTTTAAATGATTTTTTATCCACTCTTTTACACCATTCAACCTAGGAGGTGTACCACCGCCTCCGGTTGACGCAAGAGTCAAACCTGATATAATAAATCCCAATGCAATTAAAATACTGGTAAAGGTTATAATTTTTTGGCCAGTGTAGTATCAACATTAAGGACTTGGTCAATAGCTTCTCAAATTCGACTGATTTGTGAACGAAGTGCTCCTCTATTAGTGGAAGCTGCATCCAAGCGGGCTGATCTTTCGTCTTCTAAGTTACGCAATCTTTCCGCAAAACGGCGTCTACGGAATTCATCATCTGCCTGTGTAAGTTTAGTTTTCTCATACGATATATGCTTGTCATGTTCATCTAGCTGGGCTATATTATTGATGAGTGATCCCCGCATTGTTTGCATTGCCTTGTCAAGACCTCATAATTCTCTGATGGTGCCTCTAATGTGGAATTATCTTAGGTTGCCAAGATTTCTTCGAGTCCATCAGAGGCCTGCTTCACGTCTTCCAAATTATCTTTATCTATGGCAGCCGGCGTTGCACTGAGTTCAGTCCCCACAGTCTGAAGAACCTTAGTAGTCTTTGCAGAATGTTTTGCTTGTGAGTCGAAGACCTAATTCATTAAGAATAATGTTGATGCCGATTGTAGACAATGCTAGGGGCTTACAAGTATGTGTATGCATAAGATCAATATCTGGAGAGCCATGCAATCCCAATATTCCTTTACTATCTCTTGCAAACTTGGAATAGTCATGGCCAATAGGAGTAACATATTTTTTGTCTTCTTTTAAGACATCGTAATAATCATTAATGGTTGATTGCAAAAGTTCCTCATTAAGATTCATAAAGCTGGTTTCATCACTACCCCCTTCGACTGCAGTAGTATCAATTAGGTTATCTAGATTAATATCATCCAATTTTTACATTAAACAGAAGGTTACATAATTTCAATATAAACAATGTCTTCGCAATACGGATGCAAGTTAAATCCATTAGGTTGGTTGGTTGGATGGTTTGTTGTTTAATGCCGCACTCAGCAATATTCCAGTGATTGATAACATGAGCATCGATCCACGCAATAGGGATACGATGACATGCATCGACCAAATCAGAGAGCCTGACCACCCAATCCCATAACCAGTGTTGTTCCGTGACTGTGGTCCGTGACTGTGGCCTTGCGGGATTCCTGCAACATTTCTGTGCATGACGCAATTAAAAAACAACAACGCGTCCGGCTGGGCGCACAAAGCTTTTCACCTTCACTTACCTCAATGTAATTTTAATGCGAAAGGTCGTGTATTATAAGTAACATTGCAGTCAAACATCAGCGTGTTTCTTAACCAAATGTGTCCACCATGTTTGAGATAACTATAGTGATATTTTTACCAATCATAGACAAGCTTACAATTTATAACAGCAGGACTGCACTGAATTTATTCTCCTTCCAATGAGATTTATTGTTTCTAAATAGATACTGTCATAGCCGGCAGTAACAAGCATGGCGTCGGCTTAACCGAAGAAGTGACAAATGCGCATGGAAACATTTTTTGTGTCATCATTGGGTAAAAAACAAAAGAATGATGACAAAGACAATCCCATAAATAGTTCGAAAGACATTTCTGATGATTCAGTCAGTTCTAATTTTGAAG